TGCTCCTGCCCTGTCTCCTTGTGACTGACCCCCAGCACTCCAGCCACCACCAATCATGGAGCAATCCCCAGCCCCATGGCCTGTGGACATGGGAACAGCATCACTGCAGACTGTACTGCAGCTGTGCTTCCATAGAAGGCCTCCCACTACAAACTGAGCAAACTACTGAGGCCAGCAAACAAGTTTGCAGCCGCCCCACCCCTCCCAGCAGGGCTGCCCCCAAGTGCGGGTGGCCACTGTCTCAGGGAACAAGCTCCCTCCATTACCAAGGGTGCCATAACTCACCCAGGGGATGCAAATGTGTGTGCAAGGAAAGGGGCTTGCTCCAAGTACATAATGAAATTAAATTAACAGAGGCATCAGCCAGGCAATGGCATAATAAAGGCCACCCTCCACACCTGGGACCAGGGGAGAGGCCCAGAGTGATGGAGAGGCAGGGACTCTGCTCTTGCCGCCAGGGCTCCGAGGACCGCACTGGGCTCCTTCTGGGAGAGCTGCCAGGCAAGGAGGAAGTCCTCAGGGCCCATGTTGGCTATGTGAGACACTCACTAAGGAAGCGGAGGGCACAGGCACCTCTGGTCTGGGCACAGACAGAGCAACAAGGCTGGCCAGGAGGCAAGCAGGGACCACGCTCTCTTCTTCCTCTGCCCTGGGCCCTCCCCATCCAAGTCAGCTCTGTGGGGTCACCATGCAGAGCCAGGGTGGGGCCGTCCCCCACTTGCCCTCCCTCCTGACTCCGCAAGTTGCAGAGTGCCAGCCACCTCCCCACAGTCGCCCTGCCTGGGGGAACCCCCTGCAGGCACAAGCATGCTGAGCTCACCCAGGTGTGGAATGGGGACATGGCCCTGTCTGGTGGGGCACATGCAAGAGGCCTCAGATGCTCGGAGCCTGGGGGATATGGGCCAGGGGCTCAAGGATGGCCTGCCGAGGAAGTACCCTCAGGAGATGGAAGGGGGTGTAGCCCCCAAGCTGGAGGGCAGATCCCTTCCCACTAGGGGTCAGGAACCCATGGGAGCAGCAGAGCCACACCCAGGAGCCCAAGCCTAGCACAAAGGCAAAAGGACAGTGACCTGCAGCCTGCTGCAGGTGGTGTCTAGATGCAAAGGGTGTGGGCAGCTGTGGTGGGGTGGTGAAAGTTGCAGTTCACCCCAAGCCCCCACAGAATGGGCTTGGGTCATGGGTGCTGTGCACTTCCATGGATTCATCATGGACAAGCTCAGGGATAACGAGCTGTTAGGCAGAGGGAACTGGTGGAGGTGGTACGTGCTGCCCCCTCCCTCGAAGCTTCCTAGCCTCCATGGTATGAGCACCGTTCCTCTGCCAGGCCCCTCTGCCATGCAGCTTCTGCTCTCAAGCCACCAGGCCCTGGAGCAAAACTGCAAACCAAAATGCACATGTGCAGAGTTGCATCCTGGAAATGGGAATGCAGCTAAGGGGGCAGTGGGCAGTGGAGAGGGCAACGTGGATGGCTGTACTGACCACACCCCCAGGCCTGGAGGTGCTGGACGTGGGAGGAGCAGGCCTGAGTCCTCACACAGCCACCACAGCTGGCCCTGCTCCCTTCCCAGCCTCACATGGACACTGCCCAAGCCCTGAGCTTCCACTCTAAGCCACCCTGACCTTCAGGGACCCCCGACAGATGGGCAAACAGACTGAACCCATCTGCTTGCCTTGTGGTGTCACCAACCCATGTGGCCCAGTGGCAGACCCAGGGGAGGCTCAGCGAGGGCAGCAGGGACTCAGCTGCTGCCCCACGTGTCATTCTCACAGTGGGACTGCTCAGTGGGGGTGGCCTCAGGATGCAGCTTCCCCTGGCTGGCTTCATTTGGCCTCCTCCTGGTCCAAAGCTTGCACCAGGCTAAACTGAAGACCATGCTTCACTAAGAAACTCCCACCTCCCAGGTGGCCACGGCCAGAGTCACCAGCCCTTCCTGAGCTGGGCCTCCTGCATCATGGCCATTACAACTGCAGACTTTGTGGACACCCACAGGAAGAGGCAGCTCGGCCCAGGTGCGGCCGCCTCCAACCCCCGGGTATGGGGACCCGCACACTCAGACCATAGCAGCTGGGCTGCTCCCAGGGGGAGCAGGCGTCTTTGTGAGGGTGAGAAGGCCCCCACCACTCCTGTCGATTCAATCCAAAAGTGCCTAAAATCCCAGAGAGAAGAGAACAATGACCATGCACACTCCTGCTCTGGGAGGCTGAGCCAGGAGGGTCATAAATTTGAACTTCATCTCCGAATCTCGACTTAAGAGACAACCCCGGGGCAGGGCATCCTGGGCAACTGAAGGTAGAGCCCTGAGGATGCCATGTTCATATTTATGAGGCTTGGGCACTGAGGGAATGATCAGCCAAGGCCTAACTGGGTAAGACGTTAGCACTTCAGCTTCAAATAACTGCACACACACACACACACAAAATCCGCAATGTCTCAGTCTCTGGTTACAGGTTGGTTCTATAACCTCACCTGGTCGCCAGGATGGACTGACAGCAAGGCTACCCTGGAGCTGGAAGTGGTGCCGAGCTCAGCTATCCCTTATGCAATGGCACAGGACCTGCTGAGTCACCAAGCTGATCCCCCTGCCACCCCCAGGGCAGCCCCCTCACATCAGGCTCCGGCCTGGCATGGTCCCTGTCCTGGCCAGGCCAAGGGACTTCCACAGGGAGGGTGCTGCCAGGGTCTTTATCATCTGCCTCCACTGCAGGCAATGTTGCTACCTGCTAGCAACACAGAATGTGCTCCTGGTGGGGACAGGGGAGGCCAGCCAGGTGCAGATGCAGACCCTAGGGATCCTGTCTGCGGACTCCCATCTATGGGGGCAGGCCCTGTCACCAGCTTCCAAGTGTCCCACCAACCCCCGTCCTCTTCCCCAGAACATACAGCTTCCTGGACCCCAGCACAGATGTCAGGTGCCAGCCACACCAGGGTTCTGCCTCAGCCACAGTCCATGGAGGCCCTGCACCAGGACAAGGTGGCCACGCTGAGCACCACTGCCCCCTGCTGGCTGGGGTGGGGGTCACAAGGTTGGGGTGCCAGGTTCTTGCAAGTCTGGGAAGGGGCTCTGCCTGGGTCAAAAGGTAGTCTTCCTTGCTGTCCCCCACTTTATACCACAGCCCCTGGCACAACCCTCTGGGATGTTCTGGCCCTGTGCCCTGCACCTACCCAGGATCTGTGCCTGCTACCTGGCAGGAAAGGGGCTCTCCTTCCAACCTGGAACAGACACCAGCATCCAGGTCTCCCCAGTTAATCAGGACAAACAGCATCCACTGCTGGAGTCCAGGAGGTGGGCGCTGGTGATATCGAGACCCAGGGCCGCGCTGGCAGCTCCAAAGTTCGCAGGCAGCTCTGGAGATCTGGCGGGGAGTCTCACCGCACAGCCCTAAGTGTAGCAGAGAGGCCCAAGAGGGAACCTGAGGCTGCAGGGAGCACAGCCATGCTGGGGCCCGGCTCCACAGTACCTCCGGGCAGCCAGGCTCTTGGACCACGGTACTCCCGACATCCCTCGCCATCCTCTCCCCAACTCTACAGCTGCAGTGATGTGGGCACTGCCACTCTACCCTGGCTCCTGGGCAGCAGCATGGGCTGTGACCCACGCTACCCATGACCAACGGCAGGTGAGGCTGGAGACAGCAGACATGGCAGTACCTGGTGCCAGTGGTTCTGCAACTCTGCCGCCTCCCCGAGGGGTTGCTGCGCCCCAGTGTCCCCACAGGCTGTGGCCGCCCCTCATCAGAGGCGCCAACTCTGAAGGACAGAGCAGAGGACACCTTGTGGCCCGTGGCCAAGGGAGCCAGAGGACAGAAGTCAAAACCATGCTACAACCTGGGACATGGTGCCTGCCTCCAGGAACAGCTGTGCTCAGCATCCCGAGGCCACCAGGCTGCAGCGTGAGCAGTACCGATATTCAGGCACAGGGACTGGGGACTCCGGGAGGCAGGCAGCATTGCAGAGGCTGTGGCCACGGGGAGGGGGCGGAGCTGGTCCACCAGGCTGGGTGAAGGAACATCATGACTCTGCCGAAGACTCCGGGCCCAATCAGGTGGCCCCCAGAAGTCAAGGTTCCTAGGACATCCCCAAGTGCCTTGGCCCACACTCTGCTGAGCCCAGCCACCTGAAGTCTTTACACAGTGTGACCAAAATCACAGAGAAGCCAAGAGCCACGGTGCACTCAGGAGGCTGAGGCAGGAGGATCAACATAAGTTCATGGCCAGCCTGAAATGCATCACGAGACCCTGTCTCAGTGGGGCTGGGGATTTAGCTCAGTGGCATAAGCGCCTGCCTTGCAAGCAGGCAGTCATGGGTTCGATCCCCAGTACCGATAAAAAGGAAAAAGACAAATAAATAAATAAATAAATAAATAAATAAATAAATAAATAAAATCAGTGATGGGGGGGGGGGAACAACCAGCGACTGCTGCTACCAGACGCTACAGTGGAAAGGGAGGCCCACGACCAGCCCTGACTGGGCAGCCTCCAGCTCTTCCCCAGCTCAGGACAACATGGCAGCTGTACCCATGGAGCTAAAGGCTCAGGAAAGAGCTCCAGTGCTGCTGTGCAAAGCGCCAGGTCGACGGGTGAAGCCACGGCGGGAGGAGCCTGAGGGGTTCGGGCAGTGTCTTCTACTGCAACACACTTTTTGTTTGTTTTAGTTTAATGTCCTTGGCATTTCTTGCTCACTCCGCAGCTGGTAGGAGGCAGCCGCCTGATGCCACCCACAGCCCTAGCAGGGGGACCCAGCGGCCGGGTCAGCGGTGGCTCTCCCTCTACGGCGGCTTCCCCCACGCCCCACCCTGTTCCCGCTCTGAGGGCCTCTTTCAAATGGGTAGAGCCCTGACACCAGAGCCCCAGCTCCGACCCAGGCCAAGGAGGGGACAAAGCTGCGCCCTACAGCAGAACGAGGACACGGCTGTGCCAGTCTCACTGCTCGGCTCCGGGGGCCATGGCCTGGGAGGGGAGGGGAGGGGACACGTGGCCCAGTGACACTCGAGCCAGGAAGGAAATGCGTGGGGTACGTGTCCTTTATTCAGCTCCAGGAGCCCTGCAAGACCCAGGCATGCCCCGCCTGCTCCTCGAGCCCAGGCGGTTAGTGATGCTGTTGCTTGAACTGCAGGCCGCAGTAGCCGCAGGTTCCCATCTTTGTTTCTTTGTCCTAAAAAACATCCAAAAGGAAACATCTCACTTTTCTATTTCTCCCTCAAATCCATGGTGTGACATCAGACCCTGAGGAGGCAGGCCCCTGCTGAACACCCCCTGGGAACAGGGTTGCTGGACTGAACCATGAACCTGGTGTCGACCGGAGGGCCAAGACCTCCAAGTCAGCCCAGAGGGTTGCCTGGGCACCCTGCTGGCCCCATGTGGCTACTTCAGGCACTTGACTGCAACCCTGCCACTCACTGAGCCTCAGAGACAGGGACACCCCAGATCCTCAAGACGACAGGCCCCGCTCTGGGCCCCTCTTGGAGGAGGCCTCCACGAAACGTCCAGCCACGGTCAGCACCAAGGAAGATGAAGCCTGGGTGGCACCTCTGTGACAGGAAGGCAAGAGCTGAGAGACGGCTCGCCCCACAGCACAGGTCGCCTGCCCAGCACACCTCTCTGCGTGTCCTTCCCTTCCTTGAGTCTTTCTCTGTGGCCCTCCATGTGTCATGACAGGCCTGTGCCAAGCAGAGCCCACCAGCCCTGCCGGAGCTCACCACATGCCTCCTCCCCTAGATCCTTCTCTCCTCTATGACCTGCGTATAACGTGAGAGCACAGAGGGACTATCAGGACACAACTGTGTCCCCTCTCAAGGCCACAGGTTGAACGAAGCCCTAACCCTCCACAGCCCTGGATCCAGTGCAAATGAGGCCACCAGAGTGGATCCCGACCAGGATGACCAGTGTCCTCAGAGACCAGGACACACCCCAGTCAGACCTGTGAGGACGTGGTCCTGGGCCTCCAGCTCCAGGGCCGAGTGCCCAGGGTCCCAGGCTGTGGCAATGGGTGTGACGGCCAGCAGACTAGACAGGGACCAGTGAGAACAGGCAGGAGGAGACTGGCACTGTGGTCGCAGAGGGAAGGCAGGCGCAGGGTCTAGCACATTGAACCGTCGCCAGAGTATCTGTGGGCCTTTTTCCGCCATGGGGTTCCAGGGGCTGCGGAGGGCATAGCAGGCAGGGAGGGTGACAGGACCCACTGCGTACCAGGTTTATGTACACCTTGGGGTGGCCCAGGGCGCCCCCGCCGCCGTCGCAGGCGATCACCCGCTGGCCCACCTTGCTCACAGGCTGCTCTGCTATCAAGTCAATGGCAAAGTTCTCATTCACCTAGAAAGAGAAAAAGAAGACTTACCAGGCGACGTGGTCCTCCAGGGAGGGCTGGATGGGGCACAGCTCACCTGTGCATCCGGGTAGCACCCACAAATGACACCCGTCTGACTAACACAGCGTCTGCCCAAAGGCTGCACTAACAGGTCTCAGGCCCTGCCCTGTCCGTCAGGGGCAGAGTCTCCAGGCCACCCTCCACGATGCTGGGACACACTGCACTGTGCTCCATCCCTGCAGAAGCTCCACGGCGACCCTGACCTCCACGTACTGACGGCTGAGCTATGCTCAGTCCAGCGATGGGCACAGAATGCCCCCACTCTGCCCCCTAACCCTAGGAAGAAGCAGGAAAGTGCTGCAGTCGGTCACAGGCAGAAGGGACAGGGAAGCGTCCTGTGCCCAGTCCTGCGCCTCCCACCAGTGCGCACACCTCCACCTCCCTCCGTGGCCGACGGGTCTCGGCCTAGGCATTCAGGCCTGAACTCACGGTGCGGGGAAGCTGTCTTTATTCCCTGACCTCATGTCTGGGGGAGTGACCCTTCCTGTAATAAGCCTACTCCTTTATGTCAAACTGAGAGGAAGCCTATTAAAGATAAAAATAAAACACACAATTCCACGAAATAACACCAAGACTTACACAAAAAGAAAACAACCCAGGTGAACATGGATGACCTGTGAACCGCTACCTCCACTGGTGGAGTGCCCAGGCTTTAAGTCATTAAGAGCATCAGATTTCTTTAACATTGACACCAACCATCACACTGGGAGTTTCTATGTCCAACAGCTGAGAGGACTGGGCCATGGCACTCATCCACTGTGGGCCACTGACTCCGCCACAGAGAAGAACCAGTTACACCTGGGACCCAAGGTAAGTGAACCAGGGCCTGCGCCCGGCTTACACATCCCAGACTTGCTCTCACGTGAAAAACCCAAACTACAGATAAAGAGCAGAATAAAAGATGACCAGAAACAGGGACCTGGGCCTTTGTCCCATGGGAGAGGACAAGGGGACACGAGGGGGACGGGACCAAGGGGACAGAGGGACAGGGACAAGGAGAGGAGATGGGCAAGCCCTACGCCGCCAGGCACAGCCCCAAGCAGGGACGTCACACTGCGGGGGCTGCCAGTGCACGCCAGGAAATGCACGCCTCGCTTACACAGACACATGTCTGCACACACAGAAGGTTTGGACCACAGGGACAACTGCAGTTTTCACTTAAACTAACTTTCAACACAGAAAATGCTCCAGTGATCAGGCTGTCTTCAGAGTCTGGGGCTGGAGTGGGCGGGGACCTCGGCATAGGCACCACAGTGGACAGGGAGGGCCTGGCTCTCCGGGCCCTGCTGGGCACCACACACAGGCAGTACGGCAGACTTTCCTCCTGCAGCTTCCAGGCCTGGGTCACAACCCCTGCATCACCAGCCGGGAGGCAGGGCATGCGGGCAAAGGCCCTGCGGCCATCCTCCCTCGGCACACAGGGCAGCTGAACCACCCTGCACGCCCACACCTAGTTCCACCCAGAGCTTGGCGCCCACAGAGCCCTGCCAGCCACTCCCTGCACCTCCCCCCGCCCTCCTCCTGGTCCCTTGGCAGCAAACCAGGGTCACCCAGCTCTCCTGGGGCCGCTGTAGCCACTCCTATGTACGCCTCAGAGCCTGTTTAAGTTGGGTGAGGACCTGCTGATGTGCCAGCAAAGAGGCCAACATGGGATAAGGTGCCTGTCCCCTCCTCCAGCCTCCTCCTGTCTCAGCCTCCCTAGGAGCTGGAGTTACAGGTGCAGCCCACTGCAACTACCTCCCCAGTTTTAAAACTGGGGCAAAATACACACAAAGAATTAGCACCATAACACTTCCTAGTGACACTGAGCACAGTCACTGTGTTCTGCAACCATCACCACCACTCACCCCAGAAACCGCACTTCTAAACTGTACGCCTCTCCCAACAGACAGCCGCACCCCGCTCTGCACTGCCCATCCGTGCTGGGACGGCACACGAGGGATCATGGAGCCCAGCACCCTCTGGGTTACTGCATGCTCTCAGCATCCCCTTCTTCTGGGCTCACCAGCATCTTACTGCAGGAACACCTCTGCTCCCCTAAAAAGGTGGCGGCTTCACCTCCACATTGCCACCAAAGAACAGAGAAGCACTGAGGTCCCAGGGTTACACAGGTCCACCAGACTGGGCTCTGAGTGGGGGTCACAGGCCACAGACCCTGGCCTCCTGCTTGTCTTCAAGAGCTGGAGCCGGAGCCTGGTCTCAGGGCTACCGGGCCCCCACGCTCATTCCCACAGTGCAAATGGGGCAGGTGGGGCCGAGCACGTGCCACTCACCAGCGCCGGGCACCACGCCAGGCACCGCGCACAAGGTTGGCACAGAGGCTCTGCTGTGGACAGAAGGCTGGCCAGAGTGGGAGTTGGGACCTAACACACAAGCCACGTTGGGGACCAAACCCACCCAGTGACAGCGTTGAGGCCTCACCACCCGAGCAGTTACAGTCTTCACACTTCCAACCCTGCTGCATCAGCACTGGCAGCTTCCGGCAGCAGCGTCTGACAGCAGAGGAGCAAGAGAAGGGGTGACTGGGCACTTCCCAGGACCCCCGGGACCACCCTGGCCGACGTCTGGTCTGCCCTTGTCGGGGGCATCCTCCAGCCCCACAGCATTCTCTTCCCAGGGCTACCACCGTGTCACATGTCAAGACCAACAGGAACCTCTGAACCTCACAAGGAAGCTGCCTGGGATCCCCAGAGCCAGCTCAACACCCCAGGGCCTCAGGTGAGGTTTGCATTCAGCTAAATACAGTAGAACTGGGGACACATGCAGGGTGGCCAGAGGGTGGTGCAGGGAGGCTGAACAGGCAGAGCATGGGTGTGGGGGGGTGTGAGCATCTCTGGGTGTAATGGCAACAGCAGGTGCAGGACAGAGCACAACAGCATCAGCACAACTTCTTCATGAGGCGCAGGTGCACGCAGACCACCAGGCCCACAGGGGGCTACCGGTGGGAGGAGCTGTGGGAGCACTGCACTGTTTTTGCAGTTTTTCTGCAAACCCGAAAATGTTCTAAAAAACAATCTCTTAGGGGCTGGGGTGTAGCCTAGCTGTAAAGCCCTTTCCTGGCATGAACAAGACCCTGGGTTTGGTCCCCAGCACAATGCCCCACCAAAACAATTTTTAAAATTAAAAACATTATTAAAGAAGTGAAGCCCAAGCAGGATGCCATTTCCCAGGTACGACGCTGCCCGCCTGCAGGTGTAAGATGCATCCCTCACTCAGGATACCAGGCAGGGGTGCTGGGACACTGGTGGGTCCACACACCCACTGGGGCCAGGCAGGCTCACTGTCCTGCAGCCCCTGTTTTCAGCCCGCTGTTTCCACATCTGCCTCTGCCTGCTCACCTGTAGGACCTCTCCATTACCCTTTGCTTTGCCCAGCAGGAACCACACAAAGAATTTCCAGCAGAGGCGTCTGTGGCAGGGAGCTGTGCACCCTGGCTGAAGCACCATCAGTGCCGAGAAAGGAGTTAGGGCCAGAGCAGCTACACAGCCCACCTGTTTCCTGGCTGCTCAGCTCACAGCCCCGCTGGCATAGCACGACATCCGCCAAGCAAGGATGTGGACTCCAGCCTCACAACAACCTGACACACATCTCCCCTGCTCTGCCCGCCAAGACAACCTCCCTACCTCCATGACCCTCCCTGCCAGAAGCAAAACAAGCCTGCTCCCCACCTCAACACCACAGGAGCAACTGGCAAACGTCACATTCCAACACCTAGCTGGAAAGCCTAATGGTCCTGATCATGTAAAAGTGACACCCATTACTAATGCCAAATGTTCCTTGGTGCAAAACACAGGGCAGCAGCATACGAGCACAAGTGAAACCAGAAATACATGAACCAAGAAGGTGAGAAATGAACCAAGAAGGCTTCGAGGACAAGGAGTAGGTGTGGCTACACTCACAGAGTGCAAGGCAATCTGCATTATCCCACAGATGCCTATAATGACAAACACTGCAAAAAATTTTCACAAGGTTTCAAATTTACATACAAGAAAATTTCAGAGGCACTGACTCACAGTTGCCTGGTAGCCTGCAAATGCACACAGCTACTACCCACCAGCGGCAGACTCACTGCCACATCTAATAGACCTCACACCCTTCCCCGACTCTTCCTCTGAACCCTCAGGGGCTTCAGGCTCCTTCCCAAGTCAGCACTCAAGCAACACTGCAAACAGCCAACGGGAAAACACAAACTTCTCTCCTCCCATACATCAGTCACAGAGCAGCCAAACACTGAAGTCTGAGAACTTGAATTGTAACGGCCAGTGGCCAACATGGGAGCTTCTCCAGAAGGTTCTGCAGCTCCGGACGGACCAGAAACTGGGAAAGAACAATGAAGCCAAAATCAGGAGGAAGGGGGAGGTATTGATTTACCAGACCCCTGAGATAAGAAGAGTGATGTAAGATGCACATGAAAGAAAAAAATCACTCACGGAAGCTGGAGCCCTGCTTAAACTAACAGGAGGGAGAATGCGGGCTGGGGACATGGATGCAACAGGGAGTGAGACAGGAAACACGCTTATCTCAGCAGAAGACTCCATTTTCAATATTCTTTCTCCAGCAGCACCATCATGGGTGTGGGAACTGACCTGTCTTCCTGTGCAATGTGCAGAGGAATCAGACCCACTTAGAGAGGGGTCATTTCAACTTGTAGTGTCCTTGTGAGAACACATCCAAACTTATTTAATGAAAACTGTGAAAAGCAAACTCCAAGGGGTGATTAGAAGAATAATCTGAGACACAGAAAAGAAAAAAAATGATCCTCATGTATAAATGGCTATAGGATGCTATGGTTATACATATTATATTAAATGTTTTGGAAAGAAAAACCAAAAACAATTAAGCACTCCGCTAGGATGCTTAAGACACAGGATTTAAGTCTTATGTATTAATTTTTATTTCTTGTTGGTGTCAGAGGTTAAATACCTGTGTCCCAGGCTTGGGACTAAAAGTGTTTTGGATTTTGAAATATTTGCATGTGCATTTCAAGATATCTTGGACATGGAACTGAAGTCTAAATAGGAAATTCATTTATGTTTCTTTACACAGCCTGAAAATAACTGCATACGAAACTTCTAACATGCCTGTATTTTAAGTGAGACCATCTCTAGTTGAAGCACCATGTGCAGACTCAGAGATTTTGGGTTTTGGAGCATTTCCGGTGTTTGGATTGGAGATGCTCAACCTGTTTAAGTATTATGAATGCTTACCACTGGCTCTTACACTGGCTCTTGTACTCACCTCTTTCTGACGACCTACAAACCGAATTTTCCTGTAGTCTTTATTGTCATAAGCCTGAAAGAAAAAAGTCCATCTGTGACTTTTGCTGCCTAATTCTGAAAGTGGTCACTTAACATCAAGCTAAGTATTGTAGAAAAGTGTTTTTCTTGACATTTTAGGCCACTGACAATGAGCTAGCAACAAAGAGGACAAACTGTACTTGTGCATACAGTCACATATGTCAGCAGGGTTCCCAATAAAGGTGATCTGACAGGCGGGCAGCCAGCCTGCGTGACCAGGCAGCTGGAGCCCAGAGCAGATGAGTGGAGGAAGGCCTAACTTCCTTTCACGAAAGCCTTCACAGCTTTATTTCCCCCTTAAATGTATTGGGTGACATTCTCATCCGTAATTTTCCATCTGTTCGCTCACCATGATAGTTGACAGCTTCTGTGTGCGCTCATCAGACCCCCAAGTCATTAAACTTAGGCTCTCTGCAGCTCCACCGCAGCCCCCTGGGCTGCACTGGGAGGTCAGCCGTCGCCCGCAGGCGAGAAGATTTGCACATGTGGGACCCGAGCGGGAGTGAGCGAGTTACTCGCAGCTCTGGGAGCCTCAGGACGAGGCCCTGCCAGCGCTATCCGGCCGTCTACTCTCCGCGGCCTGAACCGTGGGTATCGGGTGTCACAGTTACCTGGCCGGTATGCGTGATCTTCTCCCCAGTCGGCGACACCCGCACCCCGAAGGCCCGCACGGCTCGCGGCAGGACCAGTAGCCGGCGGAAGGTCACTGCTGCCGCCATCTTGCCCGTGACCCCTGACCTGGCAGGCGTCACGCTGAGCGCCGACGCACGCGCACGGCTTCCGGTGGGGACCGGCTCCCGGGACATATTTCACTCTGAAGAAGCGCGCCCGGGGGCGGTGCGTAAGGTGAGCGTGCGCGCTAAGCCGTTCTGCCGGCAGGTGCGGCCTCCGATTGGAACTGCCCCTAAGAGCGAATAATAGTGCGCAGTCTTCCGGGGCTTAGTACCGGCCGAGCCCTTCCTGTTTGGGGAAGCAAGCAAGGGAAGTTGAAAAGTGAAGCGGTGTTGTATCCTGATGGCAGTCGGTGGTGCTGAGAAGTTAAATAGCAAATGTTTTTATTGGGTGAAGAAATCAATTCTTAGCAGAAGCAGAAGAAACTAGAAGCGCATCCTGGCACACATACTCAGCATTCCGGGTTTCTGCCACAGAGCCCTAATAAAGCTACCAGTGAACCACAGCTGACTTTCATCCTGCGGACGACACCCCTGAAGACTGGGGGACGATCACCTTAGAGCTGACACGGTTCCATGCCCATTCTGTGTAGAGGCGACCCTGGTCCCTGGTTATTTTTTGGTCCCTCTTGAGGTGGCGCACAAAAAGCAGGGGAGGGGACAGAGCAGAAGAAACTTTTAATGCGGACATGGGCGTTTCATAGAGGTGCCGCGGTTCTCAGGGAGAGCCCTGGCTTGTGACTGGCTGGACAAGGAACCTTTCAGAGCCTTCTGGGGTGACAGTCACAGGGGGCCGCCACTGAAGGAGTGAAGTGGTCAGCGCATACCCTGGGCTCAGCAGGGCGGGCTAGCGCTAAACTCCAGGACTCAAGAGACAGCCTGGTTGGGGCGAGCTCTCTAGTGACCCCTTCCTTCCAGCAGCCAAAGCCTGAGAACCAGGTGACAATCAGTGAGGCAGGAGCAAAGGCTCAGCCTCCAGGCCGCAGGCCTGGGAGGTGTGAAGGGCACCCTTTAAAAACCCCTAGAAAGGGAAAGGACTGCGGTGGTGGGGGACGGTCACCTTGGAGCTGACCAGGCTCTAGGCTCTGGCGCTGCCTGGCCAGGCATGAGGGTGGGGTAAGCTACCGGCACCGTGTGCGCTGCCAAAGTCAGTATACAGCGGGTGCGTTCTGGTGCAGCCCCAGCAACGCAGAGCCTGGGCGGTGGCCTAGCAGGTGTGCATGGCACAGCTCATTCCATTTCTGTCTACCTCTGGGGCTCTTCTACAGCTCCAAGGGGAAAGGCAGTTTAGCTGTGACCAGTTAGGGCCGCTGGCTGGTGTTTCCCTGCGACTTCACACATCCGCCAGGGTGGCACTACATAGAATCGTTCCACTTTGTTTAAACGTTGGTGTTTGTCAGTTTTTCTTATGTCTAATTGGCTGTAATTTCTTTCTAACTCTGGATATGCATTTTCGGCCCTATTTGTGCGTTTTTTCATCGGTAGGTTAGGAACCCAAACAGAATGTGCTGGGGGCGTGGCGGTCCCAGCGCTCATGCGCCGCGGTCTCTGCACCCGCCTTCCCAGCGACCATCCGCCATCCTTCTTCCTGGCAGCAACGCCTTCGTCGCCCACTGCGCAGGCGCGGGAGCTCTCGTTCGCAAAGGCGCAGGCGCCGCCACCGGTGCTGACAACTTGTGGCCGGGCTTACTCTTACCAGGTCAGAGTTCGAGGGTCCTGGGGACCCAGTTAGTGGGGCCCAGCTAGGAGGGCGGGCTGGGGAGTGAAGGCAGGCGGGTGGGGGTCCCGCCCCGACAGCATTCTCCCGACGGGAGGCGACACGCGGGCGCAGTGACCTGAGGGTGGCCCTGAGCCCGGCCCGACCCGGCCCGGCCCTGCATTTCTGCAGCCCGCACCCCAAGCCACCGGGACTGGGCAGGGACCGCAACCACCGCGTTTTCTCCCCGCAGGTCCTGGCGCCATGGCCGCCCCGCTGATCCGGAGCGCGCTGGCCGCCGCCACACACCCCTTGCGACTTCTGGTGTGTGCTGGGCCGCGCGCGCGCTCCTCGGCGCTGGCAGGGCCCCACGGAGCGGCCGTGCCCGCGCTCGCCGCGCCCTGCGCCCTCATGACCCCGCGCAGCCTCCCGCCGCTGCCGCCTGCGCTGGGTTTCAAGACCAAGGCGGTGCTCCAAAAGCGCTGCCGGGACTGCTACATGGTGAAGAGGAATGGGCGCTGGTACGTGCTCTGCAAATCCAACCCGAAGCACAAGCAGCGGCAGATGGTATAGCCTGCGTCCTTGCGTCCCAGCGCTCTGGAGAACAGTCGTGACCTTGCCGAAGAAAAGGACAGCTTCAGGGCTCTGTTGAATCAGCTCCTGGGTCTTCCTTTCAGTTTTTTAGCAACTCAGATATAGACAGGCCAGGCTGGAGTCTGCTGGGAAGGAACCCCCTCTGTGCTGGGCTGGAGGATGCAAAATAATGCAGAAGGCAAAGCTAGTTTCATGCCAGAAAGAACTGAGTCCGCAGGCCCTCACCGTTCCTGATGTGGATGTGAACTCCTTGTCGCTTCAGTCCTGTCTGAGGTCGAGGGTGAAGAACATTAACAGCAGTCTGTAACTCACAGGAAACAATTTGTTTAGGAATAAATTCGTTTATGAATAAATGCATCTCGGAGTCGGCTTTGGCTGCCTTAGGCTAGCAAGTTGGTGCTTTCAGAAAGTCCATTTTTGGGGTGGGGGGGGGGTGTTGGCCGGGCTCCGGGAAGGAGAGTCTATCTCTGGGACCTGCTTGGCCACCTGCTGTGAACCCTGGGTTGTTAAATCTTGCAAACCCAGGGAACTCGAGGTTCGTGTGGCACACGTTACTGCCTGATTCCAGACCGGCACAGTGCACTGGTGTGGCCACTGGCCACCCCGCCTGCAGCCAGCAGTCAGGGAAGTGCATGGTTAAGCTATTCGAAGGCTATTTGTATTAAGAAACGATTTCACTGGGGAACATGGGAAGCACATGAACAGAATGTATTTATGCAACTGATAAGTACACAGAAACAGTGTAATTATGACGTGCTAGTTTTCCCGTTTACAGACTAGGAAACAGGCACATAGGACCCTGGGTCATACTGCTGGGGAGAAGCAGGGTTGGAATTGGGGTCCAAGCCCTAAGCCACAGCACACTATCACCTTTCAAGTGGGACGTCAGGCACCAAAGAGAATGCACAGGAGGAGCAGCTGTGATGGGAAAGAGCCACAGGGTCAGGAGAGACAGAGGGCTGATAGGCTGCAGCTCTGGACAGCAGGTGCCAGGGCCTTGCTCATGTGATGAGGGTTGGTCCGGGTGAAGTTTGCTGGTGCCACCTGTCTGGGCCTGCAGTAGCTGGGTCCTAGTGGCACTGGAGCCCAGGGGAGCAACACACAGGGCTCTGTGGCTCCTGCAGCCCTGGGGCCGAGGCCTGACTGACCAGTCAGAGCTCTCATGAGAGATAGCCATCAACAGCTTTGGGGGGACTGGGGGAGGCATCCACCAGGGTGACAAGGCCAGATGGCCACTAGGACTGGGCCTGGCAAGGGGCTCAAGGACAGTGCTGCAGGGCTGTGCTCAGGGCAGAGGGCAGGGTGAACATGGAGGCCCTGCATTCCCAAGTCTCGGTGCAGGGACCGGGTAGAGGTGGCCCAGAAGTAGTAACAGGTGGGTTGGAGGTATCAGCAGAGGCCACTTGGTCAAAGCCACTACTGGGAGCTGAGAGGACTGTGTCAGACTCCACCCCCATGGCCAGCACGCTGGGCACCCAGCCCCCTCCTGGCCCTAACAGCCAGGTCTCCCCAGGCCACTTGCACCCTGCCTGTGAGTCCCAGCTCATGGCTTCCTGAAATGAGGGACCACCCCACCCACCACTTCCTGCTGCTCCAGGTCTCCCAGCAAAGTCCACAGTGTTCAGGCCAAGCTCAAGCCCTGACGCCCTGGTGTGACCCTTACACAGTGCCCTGTCGGGGATCACTGAGCTCGTGCCCACCCAGCTGTTGGGAGCCGCTGAGGCCTGTGGGAAAGAGCGAAGCCTGAGCTAAATTACCCCTCCCATCGAGTGAGCCAAGTTGGCGCCTGCTTCTTGCCCCCTGATTGCCCTGGCGACGTAAACAGCCCGCGCAATAGACTGGTCTACCCAGCAACTAATGACGATGACCAATCAGCTCACATGCCTGCTGTTGCCCTATTGGACAATGAGTCCGTATATATGTGTGTGACCCACGCTGCTAATAGAGGGATAGAGAAAGTCCACCGGTGAGAAAGGACTGGTGGCAGAGCAGAGGCCTCGCAGGGCCCACGCGGAGACAAATAAAGACAAGGTTACACACCGTCAGAATCTGTCGTGTGTTTTTCCTGCCGGCCGGGAGCGACACCGACACCCAGCCACAGGAATCACAGGCCTCGAAGGCCCTTCTTGAGAAAATGAGGCTGCATCCTGAGTCCCATTCCCTGAGAGGGACAGCTAAGCTGGCTCCTGCCAGCACTGAGTGGTCCACTGGGGAACTCTCAGAGCTGAGCACCTCCCCAGTTCCCCCAAAGCTGGCTAGCCTGTGTTAGAAAAAGAATCAGGTAGCTTGAGGCCTGGAGAGACCAGGACCCTGGGCTGGTCACCCCTCAGCTGGGCCATGGCCACATCAGCCAAGGCCAGTGTTCCAAGCCGGACCTGTCATGTGGCTGGAACCAGGGCTGATGTGACCTACAGCCAGCTCTGGATGGTGACCACAGACCCCAGGCATGCTGCAGCCTCTTGCATTCCTGTGTGAGGTCTGTGTCCCCTGCCTCCACTGTGAGTGGCTTCTGTAACCCCTGAACAGGGTTGGGCAGAGTGTTGGGGAGACCTACAGCCTCTGCTCTGGCCCAGGGGCCTCTACAGCTACTTTGAGGTCGGCGATGCCCAGGTGCCCAGGGAGGTGCCTTTCAGACATCGCTGGGAGCTCAGGGATGACTTCCCAGCCAGGCACCAGGAGCGAGAGCAACCATACTTTGGGAGGACCCAGCCACAGCTGCCAGCTGATGGCCCCTGTGGTGGCGGGAGGCCTGAGCCCCATCACCCCAACACATGAGAGCATAGAGCCTGTTGCTGTGGTGAATGCCTACATTGCATGACCAGAACATACAAGGACAGAGCCCTGGGCTCCAGGACCACACTGCTGGGAACCCAGCAGGAGCAGCCAAGGAAGCCCTGGGGCCAGGACAGAACCATAGTCCAGGGCTCAGGTGGTGGGAGATGGGGGCTCTGCAGGGGCAGGCAGGGCTCAGAGAGCAGAAGGTGGGTAGGAGGGCCTCCAGCAAGACTGGAGGTGAAGAGCTTGCAGGGTCCAGGGAGAGTCTGAGCCTGGAGAGGCCCCCCACGCACAACAGGCCACCTGGGTTGACCTGAGCAGATTTGATGCCCACTCATTATGAGCTGTAGTGCTGTCCTGACTCAACCTCTGCTGGGACCCGATGGCTTTAGCACCCCCAGCAGGACTGGAGATTCACTGTACCTCCCCAGGGGGCTCACATACCCACACTTGCCCCCAAGCACACAGGATGCCCAGGGCTGTTTCCCACTGGAGAGCTGGTCGCCTGTTCCCCCCCTCCCCCACCACCTCTCCTCACCCACCTCTGTGCCCTTGCCTCCCACCTCCCTTGTGCCCCGCCAGTCTCCAGGACAAGACACTGTAGCTTTCAGAGTGAGATGCCCCTACGGCACATCACCACGTCCCTGGGGGTCGTGGGAGGAGTTCCCCTTTCTCTTGGGGTAGAGCCACAGCTGCATAGAAGTGGGGAGCTGATGTGATGGTGCCCTAAAGGCAGGCAGGTGAGCCAGACTGGGGAAGGGGGTCCAGCAAGCTCCTGGCGGATTGGTTTCTCTCCTTAAAGTGTCCCCTGTCATAGCCAGCCATGGGCACCACAGAGACTTTGCAGGCTTCCCGATCTTCACTTTTTTAATAAACCAGCACAAAGTAGAATTTATTTACATAACGCTGTGATCCGTGAAGGTTACCATAACACCGAGGGACCACATTAGCCGCCTGAGTGGAATTCATTAGAAATTAACTACCACTTAAATTAATTTTCCCACAGTCACAAGGCTGTAATGGCAGGAGCAGGCGCCGTCCATCAGCGGCTGCTGACAAGCAACCTGTCACCGCCGTTATTTATAGGTGAGTGCGTCGGTGTGGAGCGGGTCCAAGCACAGAGCCTGCACAATCACACACCGCCTCCAGAGGCCCAGACGGCCCTATGGTTTGGTTCTCATCCTGCTTGGGGCAGCCAGCAGCTACTCTGGTCAGGGGCACAGCCCACAGGGTCAGGTCTCTGTCTCAGAACAGATTGCACCCCGAAGCACTGAAGAAGGTCCCGTAGGCCTCTCCAAAGTGCAGGGGCCTCCAGGCTGTTGAGTCCAGAGCCCAAGTCAGTTACAGCTCGGAATGCTCTCCAGGGAACCCAGGTGCAGGGAGAGCTGGCAGGGTCCCTGGATCTGGGGCAGAAGGCAAAGCATGTGTGCACACGTGTGGATGTGTGCACACAGACGCAAATGGCATCCATGCATTGTGTTTCACATATGTGTGTGGCTGTGTGTACAGGTGGTCTTTATGTGATGTGTGGTATGTTTGCACACGCACACATGCAAGTATCTGGTGTGCTCAAGTGCAGCCACAAGTGGGTTGTGCAGCTGTGTGCTGCACACACTGAGTTCGTGCATCTGCATGCTCATGTGCACATGTGGTGTGCTCAGCCCTGGTGTTCAGATGCACATGCACTGGCAGATGCCGCTTGCTTAGGGACTCAGATGCGTGGAAGAGACTTGGCCACTCAGCACGGAGGCCTGTTCTGCTCAGAGAAGGGTGGGCAGTGACATGGCAGGAGTTTCTCAGGACCACGATGTCCCTCCAGAACAGTGAGGACCAGTGGTCTAGGTCAGAGCAGAGCATGGGTCAGGAACCAGAGTCACCAGGTGGCCTGTGGGAGGACTGCAGATGCCGGGAGGGGTCCCCAGGCTGTCCCAGGCTGGCACCATTTCCTAAGGTGGCTGGAGAGGATGGGCAGAGGCGACACATGGAGGGTCCAGGAGGATGCCCACCTGAGGCTGCTGTGCCACGCTCCCCACCTTGATCCTGTGGTGGGCCCTGGCATTGTGACAGGACAGGGACTGTGGTGCGGCCCCAGGCCCAGGTGCTTTCCGAGTGGCTGCAGAGCGTGGGCTCTGGGCCTCCTGTCCACCCAGCCAGGTCGCCCCACAGCCTCAGCAGCCGGCATGACAGCAGGTGCTGCGGAAGTACAGACTCCGAGGGGCCGTCTGCTTCATGTCTGCACTGTGGGTCATCCTGCTCTGTCCCCAGGCCAGCGTGGATGGCCAGAGTAGGGGTAGGGGTAGGGCTAGGGCTGCCCAGCAGAGCCAAGTGGTCATTAGGGGTGGAGACAGGATGGAACGGGGTAGGAGGCTTTCCTGGTGACTGGGGGAGGGGAGAGACCCTGGATGGGAAAAGAAGGGGGCAAAGGGCAGAGCCAAGAAGGTCCCCTGAGAAGCTCCTGAGCTGGGCCTTGGGAGTTGGAGTCTTGGCCTCCACCCTTGCAGGCCCTCAGCAGGAGATGGGGGCCCTCAGGAAACGGCTGCTGAGGGGCTCCCCATAGAGGCCAGGGAGGCCTGTGCGCACCA